AGAGAGCCTGTAAGTTTGTATGCACAGTCCTACATCAGCAATGGCAGGTGCTCTCTTACCCTGAGCTTATTACACCTGGGTGTATTGCCATGTGGAGCCACATGTATTCTTTTAGAACCACTCCCTTATCCCAAGCCCTTTTTTCACACTGAAGGCTTGCTCCTCTGCAATCCAAGTAGACTTCCTGGAAGTGGTGTCTTTGCTGAAGATGTTGTGGACACTGTTAACAGACACACCAGCCCCTGCTAGATGACGTCCCTGCTGCCGCTCTTTCCAGACAGAGCTCAGGTGCCAGCGGCCACCACTCTGACTCAGTGGTGATCATAATGGTCCTTTTGTGGGGGACAGGCCTTTGTTAGAGCCTTGAGCATGACTGCTTCTTTTCCAGAAGAATGCAGAGTTCTTCACCCAGCAGTTGAGGTAGGGAGACTGACGTGGTGGCCAGGAAGGACGCCACTAATGCACATCCATTAGTGAGCGCATCACAGGGTGGCATTCAGAAGCTTCTGAGCGGTGCTCCTTCCTCCAGACCCAACAATGGCTGTGTGGAGGGGGCTTGAAGTGGCCTTTTTACAGGCACTCAGCTTAGTTCCCCTCTCAAGCCCCCGCCCCTGTTAGGTGCCCGTCTTCCATTTCCATGCCTGCTGCTCAAAGGAATGGAGCAGCCAGGACGGCGAATGCAAGCAGCCCACCTGCGGCCCAAAGAGCCCTCACTGTGCCCTCAGTCCCATTGCCCCAGGAGAGGGACACCAGGCTGGGCAGAGCCGGTGCACAGTGACCTGCTATGCAGCAGCTCAAAGAGCCCATGACTCTGCATGCGTCTGTGCGTGTGCACGCACGTGTATGTGTGTGTGCGTGTGTGTGTCTGATGGCAAGGGCGCAAGGACCCCTGAAATGGGTTTGAAAGGGAGTTGGTTTGTTTTTAACACACTGTCCAAAACCTTTATGTGCAGTTGAAAGTGATTCCTTTCCCAACATCCTTGTAGGCAGCTGTCCTTGGTGCCATTGAGGGGCTGGGGCTGGAGCCTTTGGCAGACTCCTTGGGGGAAACCCTTCCAGGCCAGGTCTAATCCGCCTGGAAGGCCAGTCTCTGACTTCAACATCTCATTTCAAAAAACATGTATTGGCTGGGTGTGGTGGCTCACACCTATAATCCCAAAAGTTTCAGATGCTAAGGCGGGTGGATCTCTTGAGGTCAGGAGTTCAAGACCAGCCTGTCCAACATGGCAAAACCCCGTCTCTACTAAAAATACAAAAAATTAGCAGGATATGATGGCACGTGCCTGTAATCCCAACTGCTTGGGAGGCTGAGGCAGGAGAATCTCTTGAACCCGGGAGGCGGAAGTTGCAGTGAGCTGAGATTGTGCCTCTGCACTCCATCCTGGGCAACAGAGTGAGTGAGACTCTGTCTCAAAAAACAAAACAAAAACATGTATAAATTATGTTCCTTTAATTTATCCTTTATATTATAGTTCAACCTTCAGGTCGAAGTTATTTTTCTGTGTATAATGAACACAAGAAGGTTATATTATCAATGAATTTCAAGATAATAAATAAGATCTCACTACTTACTTATTTACTCTTAAAAGGTTATTTTGCTGCCAATGGGAGTGTAAAATATTACCACTTTGGCAAAGAGTTTGGCAGTTTCTCAAAATGTTAAACATAGAGTTACCATATGACCCAGGAATTCCCTTCCTAGGTATATACTCAAACATTTTTTCACAAATTTTGATAAAATTTGTATGCTCACAGATGCATTATTCATAAGAGCCAAAAAGTGGTAGCAACCCAAATGTCTACCTACTGATGAATGGATAAATAAAAAGTGACAAATCCTTATAATGGAATATTATTTGAGAACAAAAAAATGAAATACTGGCCGGGTGTGGTGGCTCACGTCTGTAATCCCATCACTTTGGGAGGCTGAGGTGGGCAGATCACCTGAGGTCGGGAGTTCGAGACTAGCCTGACCAACATGGAGAAATCCCGTCTCTACTAAAAATACAAAATTAGCCGGGCATGGTGGCACACACCTGTAATCCCAGCTATTTGGTAGGCTGAGGCAGGAGACTCACTTGAACCCAGGAGGCAAAGGTTGCAGTGAGCCAAGATCATGCCATTGCACTCCAGCCTGGGCAACAAGAGCAAAACTCTGTTTCAAAAAAAGAAAGAAAGAAAGAAAGAAAGAAAGAAAGAAAGAGAGAGAGAGAGAGAGAGAGAGAGAGAGAGAGAGAGAGAAAGAAAGAAAGAAAGAAAGAAAGAAAGAAAGAAAGAAAGAAAGATGTAATCCCAGCTATTTGGTAGGCTGAGGCAGGAGATCGCTTGAACCCAGGAGGCAAAGGTTGCAGTGAGCCAAGATCATGCCATTGCATCGTGCTTGGGTAACACAAGAGTAAAACCTCATTTCAAAAAAAAAGAAAGAAAGAAAGAAAGAAAGAAAGAAAGAAAGAAAGAAAGAAAGAAAGAAAGAAAGAAAGAAAGAAAAGAAAGAGAGAGAGTTGTTGTTGTTAAAAAGAAAAGAAAAAGAAAGAGAGAGAGAGAGAAAAAGAAAGAAAGAAAGAAAGAAAGAAAGAAAGAAAGAAAGAAAGAAAGGAAGGAAGGAAGGAAGGAAGGTAGGAAGGAAGGAAGGAAGGAAATACTGATATATACTACAGCATGTATGCATATTTAAAACAACATGACGCTAATTGGAAGAAGTCAGACACTAAAGGTCACATGTTGTATGATTCCACTTATATGAAATACCCAGAATAGGCAAATCCATAGAGCCAGTGGTTGCTCGGAGTTGGGAGTGTCAATGGGAAATGGAGAGTGACTGCAAATGGATACAGGTTTCTTTTTTTTTTTTTTAATTTCAATAGTTTTTGCTTTGTTTGTTTTTTGAGATGGAGTCTCACTCTGTCGCCCAGGCTGGAGTACAGTGGCACGATCTCGGCTCACTGTAACCTATGCCTCCCAGGTTCAAGCAATTCTCCAGCCTCAGCCTCCTGAGTAGCTAGGATTACAGGCATGTGCCACCACACCCGGTTAATTTTTGTGTTTTTAGTAGAGATGGTGTTTCACTATGTTGGCCAGGCTGATCCTGACCACAAGTGATCCTCCTGCCTCAGCCTCCCAAAGTGCTGGGATTATAGTCGTGAGTGACTGCCCCAACCTATTTTAATAGTTTTTGAGGTACATGTGGTTTTTGGTTACATGGATGAGTTCTTCAGCAGTGAAATCTGAGTTTTTAGTGTAGCAGTCACTTAAGAAGTGCACACGGGTACAGGTGTCTTTATTGTACTGATGAAAGTGTTCTAAAATTGATGATAGTTACACAGCTTGGTAAATATACTAAAAAGCCATTTTATTGCATACTTTAAGTAGGTCAATTGAATGGGTATTAATTATATCTCAAAACTGTTATTATTATTATTATTATTATTATTATTTGAGACGGAGTTTTGCTCTTGTCATCCCAGGCTGGGGTGCAGTGGTTCAATCTTGGCTCACTGCAACCTCCGCCTCCCAGGTTCAAGCAATTCTCCTGCCTCAGCCTCCCAAGTTGCTGGGATTACAGGCACACACCACCATGCCTGGCTAATTTCTGTATTTTTAGTAGAGATGGGGTTTCACCATGTTGGTCAGGCTGGTCTCGAACTCCTGACCTCAGGTGATCTGCCCACCTCGGCCTCCCAAAGTGCGGGGATTATAGGTGTGAGCCACCATGCCTGGCCTCAAAACTGTTATTTTAAAAGTTATGATTTTGGAGGAAAATGGGTAAACAAATTGTGGTGTATTCATAGGCTGGAATACTACTCAGCAATAGAAAGGAGCTACTGATACGTGTGACACCATGAATGAATCTCAAACCATTATGTTGCATAAAAGAATCCAGACAAAAGACAACTTACCTTGTGATTCCATTTTCATGAAGTGTAAGAACAGGCAAAAGGAAGCTATTCAAATGGGGAGTGACTAGAAAAGTTCCCAGGAACTTTCTGCAGTGATGGAAATGTTCTGTATCTTGCCTGGTGGATCGACTTTCGCTGAACTGTGAAATTTGTTCACACAACGCACAGTGTGCATTATAATGTATGTTATTATACACCGGAGGAATATGTAATAAAGCTGAGAATCTCTGTTTTAGACACTTCATTCAAAAAATATAAAAACAGCTTCTCTCTTAAGAAATCAAATTCCCCTTTTGAGTAGTTGCTCTTTCCTTTTTTTTTTTTTTTTTTTTTTTTTTTTTTTGCTTCTTAGGGAATTTTCAAACACACAAAATATAGAGAGAACCCACATACAGTGAACCCATGTGCCCACCAGTCATCAACCTTTTGTTATTCTTGCTTTAAATATTCCCTCCAAGATTTTTTTTGAAAGTTGTAAGACAAATCCCAACCATCATGTCATCATCTCTATAAATACTTTGCATGGATTGCTGAGAGACAGAACTTTCAAAAATAACCCAAAGACTCAAGAGCAAACTCAAAGAAGTCAACAAAACCTTCATCTCATCTTACATCTTCTTTCTTCACTTACATCTGGACTGTGTTCAACTTTCTCACTTTTTTTTTTTTCAGACAAAGAGTCTTGCTCTGTCATCTGTTCTAGAGTGCGGTGGCATGATCTCAGCTCATTGCAACCTCTGCCTCTCAGGTTCAAGCGATTCTCCTGCCTCAGTCTCCCTAGTAGCTGGGACTAGAGGTAGCCACCCCTACGCCCAGCTAATTTTTGTATTTTTAGTAAATATGAGGTTTCACCATGTTGACCAGGTCACCTCGGGTGATCTGCCAACCTGGGCCTCCCAAAGTTCTGGGATTACAGGTGTGAGCCACCGCACCCAGACTTCCCGCTTGTTTTAAGTGCCCTGTTACTTTTTTTTGTTCCAATCTGGATCCAGGCAAGGTCCATATATTGCATTTGATTGATATGTTTCTGAAGTCTTTCTAGATCTGTAACAATTTCCCTTCTTTCTTTTATGTCATTTATTTTTGAGGGAGCATTTTTTTTCACATCAGCCAGGTAATATGCTGATGTGGTAGCAAGGTTTGAGGAGGCACATTTCACACCGTAGCATGAAAACTCAATCACCATGAGTGTGAACCACAGGAGGAACTGGGAGCACTATTTAATTGACCTCAGATGATATATTTTTGTTTTATGGGTGTTATTTCATAATCATAAACTTAATTCTGCAATCCAGCTAGATGTGGAAGGGAATAAGGAAAATATGGAACCCAAAGAACTGCAGCGGGAGCACAAAGACCATAAGATACTGTGAGCAAATGGGGAGCAGGGGTGCTCTCCTGAGCTATAGAAGGAATGGTCAGGAGATGAAGATAAAACACAAGTCAAACTTACTGGAGTTGTCCACAGTCAGCAGTGGTGATCTTCTTGCTGGTCTTGCCATTCCTGGACCCTCCATGGCCTCAACAATCTTCATGCCTTCTTTCACCTTGCCAAAGACCACATGCTTGCCATCCAACCACTCAGTCTTGGCAGTGCAGATGACAAACTGGGAACCGTTTGTGTTGGGTCCAGCATTTGCCCTGGACAAGATGCCAGGGCCTCTATGCTTCATGATGGAGTTCTCATCATCAAATTTCTCCCTGTAGACAGACTTGCCACCAGTGCCATTATGGTTTGTGAAGTCACCACCCTGACACACAAACCCTGGAATAATTCTATGAACACAAGAACCCTTATAACCAAAGCCTTTCTCTCCAGTGCTCAGAGCATGAAAGTTTTCTGCTATCATTGAAACTTCATCTGCAAACAGCTCAAAGGAGACACAGTCCAAAGGCTTACTATCAATGGCAATGTTGAAGAACATGGTGGGGTTGACTATGGCTGGTAACAGAGGGCTCCAGGCAGCAGTGGTATCTGCAGAAGCCAGTATCCTTTACTTACCTCTGCTTCCACTGTCTCCTTTCCTCAGTGTAACTTTGGGCCTTGGCGGGGTTAAGACCTACTCCTGCATGGGCCAGTGACCCTCTGCCTTCAAATTCTAAAAGCTTCCCAGAGCAATAATGGGTCATACTATAATTGCCCAATGGCTTCATCTTGTCTGTTGCCTAGAAAAGCCAATGCACGGAGAACAGCAGGTTTTTGCAACAGAGAAATAGTTTAATAATCAGAGGGCTAGCCAAGCAGAAGGACAAGAATTTGTTATTATTCAAACCAGCCTCCCCCAAAATTTGGAGACTAGGGTTTTTTTGTTTTTGTTTTTGCTTTTGTTTTGAGACAGAGTTTTCCGCTTGTTGCCCAGGCTGGAGTACGATGGTGCAATCTCGGCTGACTGCAACCTCCGCCTCCTGGGTTCAAGTGATTCTCCTGTCTCAGCCTCCCAAGTAGCTGGGACTACAGGCATGTACCACCACACCCAGCTAATTTTTTGTGTTTAGTAGAGATGGGGTTTCACCATGTTGGTCAGGCTGGTCTCGAACTCATGACCTCAGGTGATCTGCCCGCCTCAGCCTCCCAAAGTGCTGGGATTACAGGCATGAGCCACCACACCCAGCCGTGGAGACTAGGGTTTCTAAGGATAATTTGGTGGGCAGGAAGCTAGGGAATGAGGAATGCAGATTGGTTGGGTCAGGGATAAACTCATAAGGGATTGAAACTGTCTTCTTGCTGTCTTTAGTTCCTGGGCAGGATCACAAAAGTAGTTGGGCCAGTTTACCAGTCTGTGTAGTACCAACTGTTTCATCAGAATGCAGGATCTGAAAATACCTTGAACACCAATCTTAGGTTTTATAATAGTGGTGTTATCTATAGGAGCATTTAGGGAGGTTAGGAATCTTGTGGCCTCTGGCTGCATGACCCCTAAAAATGCATAATTTTTAATCTTGTGGCTAATTTGTTAGTTTTCCAAAGGCAGTTTCACTCCCCAAGCAAGGAGGGGATAGTTTTGGGAAGGACAATTATCATCCTTGCTTTAATGTGAAAATACAAACTAAATTCCTCCCAGAGTTAGCTTGGCTTATATCCAGGAATGAACAAGGACAGGTTGGAGGTTAGACGCAAGATCGAATCAGTTAGGTCAGATTTCTTTTACTGTCATAATTTTCCTATGTCAGATTTTTCTCACTGTTATAATTTTTGCACAGTTTCATTATCCCTAAGGGGCCAACACTCTGTGGGCCAGTAGCTCTGTATCCAAACATATATGCACCATTTTGGAGACTTTCAGTGTGGGCTATGTACATGTGAGAGGACTGGCCTGGGTGAGACTGGGGAGACCTCTGACCTGAGAATGAAACTGGTCTCAGTAAGAGGAAGATGCATTATGTTAAGAGTCTCTCCCAATCATTCAAGTATCCATTCAACAAATACAGGACAGGTGCGGTGGCTCACACCTGTGATCCCAGCACTTTGGAAGGCCAAGGCAGGGGGGACCACCTGAGGTCAGGAATTCCCGACAAGCCTGGCCAACATGGTGAAACTTTGTCTCTACTAAAAATACAAAACATTAGCCAGGTATGGTGGTGCACACCTATAATCCCAGAAGCCTGGGAGGCCGAGCCACGAGAATCACTTGAACCTGGAAGGTAGAGGTTGCCGTGAGCCGTCTCAAGCCTGGGCAACAGAGTGAGACTCTGTCTCCAAAAAACAAAACAAAACAGAACAAAAAAACACAAATCTCCAACTATGTGCCAGACACTAACTAGGAGGCAGCATTCAGCAGACAACAAGACACAAGCTCTCTCCTCCTGGGGCTTCCATTCTGGCAAGGGGAGGGAGGGAATAAGCACAGGTGAACATCCGCTAAGTCTGATGGTGATCACACTTTGGAGAACCATAAAGCAATAGGGATGAGTGGAGCGTGGGGTGGTTAGGGAAGACCTCTGTGATAAGGTGACACCAGAACAGAGACCTGAAGGAAGTGAGGGAGAAAATCATTCCGTTCTGGAGCAAAGGCACTCCAGTCAGGAGAGACAGCAAGCACAAAGCTCAGAGGTGGTTGCAACTTTTGCATGTTTGGGCGACATCAAGCATGTGGCTGCTGGACCCAAGGGTGCTGGAGAGGGAGCAGCAGGGGTGCAGAGCTCCGTGGTGCCTCTGAAGGGCCTGGGCTTTTACTCTCAGCAAGATAAGAACAGGCCCTGTCCTCCTGGGGCTTCCATTCTGGCAAGGGGAGAGAGGGAATCAGCACAATGCTTGTGCTATGCTGGACAGAGGAGTGGCCCCATCTGATCATCTTCTCAGGGTCATGTGGCTGCAGGGTTGAGGACAGACTAAGGGAGGGAACACAGCTGGGAGACCACTGCAGACACCCAGGGAGCAGATATTGGTGACGCGGACCAGGGTGGATGCAGAGGAGGAAGGAGTGGCTAGAGCCAGACACACTGTGAAGGTACAGCCAGCAGAATTTGTTAAGGGATTGGATGATAAGCGTGAAAGAAAGAATCTAGAATGAATCCACATTTTGGGCCTGAGTAACTGGAAAGGACAAAGACAAGTTTCCATTTACTGCTGTGAGAAAGACTGAGAGAAGAGCACGTGTGGGGGCAAGATTAGGAGCTCTGTTTTGGACGTGTTGATTTAAGTTAGATAACCAGTGAAGCTCAAATAGGTAGTGAGATTTCTAAGTCCGGGGTGCAGTAAAGAAAGAGGCTCAAACTGGAAATGTAAGTGTGGCAGTCATCAGTGTATAGATAATATCAGAAGCCAAAAGACAGGAGTTCAATGAAGTCTTAAGAAAAATTCCCAAAGGATTTCTTTTTCTTTCTTCCTTTTTTTTTTTTTTTTTTTTTGAGACGGTTTCGTTTTTGTCACCCAGGCTGGAGTGCAGTAGTGCTATCTTGGCTCACTGCAACCTCCGCCTCCTGGGTTCAAGCTATTCTCCTGCCTCAGCCTCCCGAGTAACTGGGATTACAGACATGCGCATCACACCCAGCTAATTTTTGTATTTTTAGTAGAGACAGGGTTTCTCCATATTGGCCAGGCTGGTCTCAAATTCCTGACCTCAGGTGATCTACCCGCCTTGGCCCCCCAGAGTGCTGGGATTATAGGCGTGAGCCACTGCACCTGGCCTCAAAGGATTTTTTTTTAATTGACAAGTTGACTCTAAGATTCATCCAGAATAATACATTTTTTTTTAAGCCAAAAAGATTCTGAAAAGGTGACATCTGGCCTCCCACTAGATGCCTTGCCTCGAGGGGTTGGGCTTGATGTTCTGTCTCTGGCTCTGCAGCAACGGTCAAAAGAGAAGCCTGGAGTTTCCAGGATCCAGCCCACGCCCTCCCAGTGGGACAAGCTGGTTCAGGGCTCACACACCTATTAATGCATAGATTCCTGCTCTCACTTGCATCTTGTTCTTCTCAGACTCCTTATTTTCTTGCCAATTTGGCAATTTTTTTTTTTTTTTTTTTTTTTTGAGATGGAGTCTTGCTCTGTCGCCAGGCTGGAGTGCAATGGCGTGATCTCGGCTCACTGCAAACTCTGCCTCCCGGGTTCAAGCGATTCTCCTGCCTCAGCCTCCCAAGTTGCTGGGACTACAGGTGCATGCCACAACACTCAGCTCATTTTTGTATTTTTACTAGAGGCTAGGGTTCACCATGTTGGCCAGGTGGTCTCAATCTCTTGACCTCATGATCCACGTGCCTTGGCCTCCCAAAGTGCTGGGATTATAGGCATTAGCCACTGCACCTGGCTGCAATGCATTTTTTTAAATGGTTTAAATATATTGTTTTAGGCTGGGCATGGAGGCTCACACCTGTAATCCCAACATTTTGGGAGGCTGAGGCGGGTGGACCACCTGAAGTCAGGAGTTTGAGAACAGCCTGACCAACATGGAGAAACCCCGTCTCTCCTAAAAATACAAAATTAGTCAGGTGTGGTGGTGAATGTCTGTAATCTTAGGTACTTGGGAGGCTGAGGCAGCAGAATCACTTGAACCCAGGAGGTGGAGGTTGCAGTGAGCCGAGATTGTGCCACTGCACTCCAGCCTGGACGACAAAGCAAAACTCCATCTCAAAATAAATAAATAAATAAATAATTTTAAGCTTTTTCAGTCATGTTCATTGGGAAGGGACTTCAGTGTACCTTGTCTGCCATACTGATGGACATAGAAGTTTCACATGGACACTTTCTGGCCAGGATGCATATTCCTT